AATGTCAAACTCGAAGCCTACCAAGGGCCACACAAACAAAAACTGATAGCTTTCAGGGCCACCTAGGATTCCCAGATGGTTTGTCGAGCAAAAAAATCCCAACCAAACAAACAAAAAAAGGCAGAAGGCACCAATACTGGTCACAAGGCAACTATAGAAGGCCACTAAAGAAAATGTACTTTGTTGGAAAGTCATAGTTATTTATTTTATAGATTATGTTTTAGGTATATCTTATAATATTACAATAATTGATTGGTAAAATTGTTGTTTGCTCATATTAAATAAACTTTAAATTAATTTTACATAATTTTAACTTAAATATAAATTTAAGGTACTTTTAAATTTTGTATATGATACATAACTTGTTTTGTTGAAATTAACCATGTTCTATACTTGTTTTTATCAAATAGAACAGGTTTCTGTGAAAATTTCATATACTTTGTAAGGTTGAGATTTTGCATAAAGATATAATTATTCATGCAATTGCAAAAAATTGACATATTTATTGATATACAATTAATATACATTTTGTGATTTTACTTGGGAATAAATAAATAAAAAACAAAATATTAACAAAATAACCCTTTCCTCTCCCCCAGAGCCAGGCACTCCCAACCTAATACCTCCCTCCTCCCCCAGAGCCAGCACTCCCCCAACCTAATGCCTCCCCCCTCCCCCAGAGCCAGGCCTAGGGTTGCTAGATGGTTGAAACAAAAATACCGACCCCCCCCCCCCCCCCAAAGCCAGCCCCCCCCAACCTAATGCCTCCTCCTTCCCCCAGAGCCAGGCACTCCCAGCCCCTCCCCACCTAATGCCTCTCCCCTGCCCCAGAGCCAGGCACTCCCAGCCCCCCTCACATAATGCCTCCCCCCTTCCCCAGAGCCAGGCTCTCCCAGACCCCTCAACCTAATACCTGGGTCCCATAGTCGATGTTGCTGCCTGAGGCGCTGGGGTGGCATGAGCACAGTGGCCAGCTGTGAGCGCCTGCTGGAGCGCTCACTGCAGAGCGCCCAGCTGGCTGTGAGTGTGTGCGCAGAGCAGCTCAGCCGGCCTGTAAGCAGGCACTCGGCCACGTGTTCCGAGCGGCCAGCGGGCCGCACTTCATTCTTTTATAAAAATGTTCTGGGGGCCGCAAAAAATTTAGATCAAGCCACATGCGGCCCTCCAAATGCCAGTTTGACATGCCTGGCCTATAGCATTTTGGCTTGCAAATGACAGAAAGAATGACTGACACAGCTGAAGTAGAATAGACAAGGACAGCTGATGGCTGTATTTCTATAAAAAGCTGTCATTTGGACTTTCTTCATCGAACCCAGTATTTAGAGCAGAGGTCTCAAACTCCTGGCCCATGGGCCAGTCCCATCTGCAGCTATTGCACAATCCAGCCCAAGACTCTTGGTAAAACAGCGGGGGCCTGTCCATTATTGGCCCCCAAAGCCCACCTCTTCCTGCCATCGCCCCACCCTCTCCCCCCATGGTACCCAGACCTCAAGCACATGTCTTTGGGGATTACCAAGGGTGAGTCTGGCACCACATGGCAGAAGCGGTCCTGCTGCCCCACACTCCCCTTAATGGCAAGACAGGGAGTTTGAGACCCTGATTTACAGGTTAATTCTCCATATTGCTACATTCATACAATCGTTTAACCTCAGCACAAACTCCTCTCTAATTAAAGTACTTTTTGCCAGTTATATTTGAGGCATCTCCCAAACATCTCCATTTACTTACATTCTTCTGGTTTTTGATTTTCTTTCTCCTTTTAATGTATAGTACATTAACAAAGTGCTGATCCTAGGCACCAGATACCTTTACCATATATAAAATGGGTGCAGGGCTTGGTTAATCAGATCTTTACTAGCTTGAGGACTAAACCCCACTAGCTAAAGAATGATGCTCCATATAGGAGGGGCTCCACCAGCATGGTCTAGAGATAGATCCCTTGGTGAGAAGTCCTCCCTTTTCCTACCCATACTGCTGGAAATCAGGAAGAGGGCTGGGATTCCTGTAATCACGGTGTCCTTAATCCCTGCTGAAGGACTCCACTTCCTATATTAATAGATTAGTTGAAAGCGTGTCCAGCAAATGCTCACCTTCAATCTCTAGGTCTGTGTCTGAGCTGTCTGCTGTCATCTTTTCTTCTGTCGGACTGTTGGATTGGTCAGCAAGCAACAGGGATTCCACAGACCGGCTGCTCTCAGACATTTTCTCATTCTTGTCTGGAATGAAACTGAACATCTTCATTTAGTGAATGCAGACTTAAAGCATTTGCAATACCCCACAACACACTGCAGATAGTACCATTTTCTCTAGTCACTGAATCCCAGAACCTCCTTCAGAATGTTTCAGATACTTTTTTCCCCGTCTCAACTCTATGTGCATCCCTCCCCTGCACTATACTCACTTGGAAGCTGTCATTGTTATATAGATGTTCTCACTTGAGCAGCTGGAGATACCTGGACATCCAATGGCTTGGCATCTTTTGGAGCAAACTTTCCAGTAAGCCAGCAGCCCAAGTTTATGGAGGGCTATTGTTCTCTTACACTAGTCGTTAAATGATTCTGGTGAAGTGCTTCTTCCCTCTCCCTGATTTTTGAAATAACCAGTCACTGGCAATCAGATCCTCCCAGCCCTTCTGTTAACTCTCAAGACAAAACTATGTCCGTTACTTTAAACTTTTCCTTCCCAAGTGGCTTTCTCTCATCTTGCATGCTACCTTTACTGTCAGTCTGAGAATGCTTTGTTGTGTACTTCAAGTAAGGCAGAGGAGAAATGGTTTGAATGCTACTGTACACCAGCATTGAGCTGTTACTCAGGAGCAAGACTTGTAACCAGATCCCAGTGGATGTGATACAGACTCTCTCACCTCCAATTCATAATTTATTTTACAATTAGGGAGAAAGAGAGATTGGAAAACTACCCTATAGGGGAATAAAATGTTATAAGAATCAAGAAGACTAATGTCACCACACCCCGTCCTGGCTGACAAGTGGCACTAGAAGTAGTTAATATTTATCTGTCTCTGTTTTCACTGTTAGTACTTTGCTGCTTTTTTCACTGACTTACTTTCCTTTACTGGCTGGGTTTTCTAGCCCTAATCCTGAGGGGGCAAAGAAAGAAAAAAAGTATCTCTAAACTCTGCATAAACAATTCAAAAGACATACCAAACAGAAGTGACTAGGTGAAGACATACTATAGGTTCTCTTGTGATCTTTCATTGTTATTGTTTATTTGTATTGTGGCAGTGCCCACAGGCCTTCTCAAGATCAGAAGTCCATTATGCTGGACATGATAATAAAAACGAAGCCCCTGTTCTCAGGAATGTATATTCTCTTTTTGTAACACTGATTCTTGCAGACTCCCACCACCCTCTGACATCCCTTGCTGTTGTGTGTCTAACAGAGCACCCAATCCAGTGCCACCTGAGTAATTCCTGAGAAGGAAGAGATATAGATTTGAACTCCTGGCGGCAAAGACCTGCCTTTTTTTCTGTGAAAAGCCACGCACACTGGTGGTGGTGTAGATGTTAGTACTATATCTACAGTGCTGTTCAAGAAAAGCAAAGGCAAGGATTTTAAATAGTGCAACATTTTATAAAATTAAATTTTTATGCACTAAATATATTAATATCTTCGTTATTAAAGACACAAAGTGGCTGAGGTAGTATCTTCTCTTGGACCAACTTCTGATGGTGAAAGAGACAAGCTTTCAAGTATGCAGAGCTCTTCATCACATCTGGAAAAGGTACTTAGAGTGTCATAACTAAATACAAGGTAGTACAGATTGTTTAGCATAACTATATTATATTATATTTTTATTTATTTATTTATTTATTTATTTATTTATAAATTTAGCGAAGGATGCCAGATTGACAGTTCTGGGGAATCATGTCCTTTATTTATCCAGATTGCTGGTATTGCCAGAGTAGCATTACGACAAATATCCCCTTGATACACACTCAACGGTGTACTTCAGTCATGCTGGTGAGAGGAGTTTTCAGTCTCAGTGGCTTAGAGTGAGATAGGATTAAGAGTGCCAATTTTCTAATTTCAGAAAACAAAACACCTCGCCCCATCCATTGACCCATCCTTGCCCTGCTCCCTCTCGTGACCCTGCCTCCCACTCTCACAATCACTCTCACCTTTGCTTATGAGCTCATTTTCACTGCAAGGATCAAATAAGCATGCTTATTGTTTGGACAGATGTATTATGCTACATTCAGGTTTTATTTGTTATGGGACAGTAGAGTTGGCAGCAAAATAGTCAAAAAGAGTAATTTAAAAAACCGAAATGTCACAAAGGTTTTCTTGATTCTTTCCCTCCCTTCTTCCCATTTTTGTAACCAGCTCCTCGCTAAAGTTATTGTATTTTTATGTGTTGAAATTAGGACCAAACATTATAACAGCTGCAGTGGGTCCGTTAAAGGCCCACTCCTGAAGCCCAAATACAAATCTAGAGAGCAGAACCATAAAAATGCACCTGTCCAGATACCTAATTACATTTGTAGACTCCCACACGTACATGCAGATATACACATGTATTCATATGCACACATCTAGCATGCACTAATACATATACTTGCACGTTATTTGTTATTACAATTGTTGTTTAGTGCCTACAGACCCCAGCAAATATCAGGGCTCCAGGGTGATAGGTGCTGGACATACACAAAAAATAAAGATTCTGCAACAAAGAGTTTATAATATAACTAGACACAGGTGGTGAGAATGAATTATATATTGGCTCTTCTGCAATTACTGGTCAATAACATTCACCTTTTAAAAATAGTACTCTACTTTTAGAGTTCCTTTCTCTTTTAAAAACTTATGAAATGATTTTATGTCATCAATTTTATATTGACATATTTTATGTCATCAATTTTTTGTGTACAAGCCAGAAAAAGGAATAAAAGAATTTGTAAAGTTATAAAACCAAAATTTTATTTTACTATGGCCAAAAATCTTCCAAGTGTGAGTCTTATTGGAGAAATTAAATAGGAGTAGCTATACTCTGCTAGAATTTTAGGTCATAATACTACAAAGGAATACAGACCTTTTTGCTTTAGAGTATAAGCATGATGGCCAACTAGAGGCTCAGAAAATGCCACATTCAGTGATAGCGCCTGCACAACTAGGACCTAATCCTGAAAGGTGCTGAGCATCCCACATAAGAATATAAGTTATTAAAGTTAATGGTAGTTGAGGGTGCTACAGTACCTTTTCCCCGGAACTATTATAGAGATTTTTATTTTCACCTGATAGAGATTAAAGTTAATGGTAGTTGAGGGTGCTTCAGTACCTTTTCCCCGTAACTATTATAGAGATTTTTATTTTCACTTGATAGATATCCCATATTAGATGGGTCATCAGTTTGCTCCAATATGGTAGGTCCTATAGTTCTACCTCAGTACAGTAAAACTCCAATAGTCCAGCATCCAATTGTACGGCACTCCTGATAGTCCGGCATCAAAATGGCAAGAGCCTAGTGAGTGAACTTCGGCAAAAAATGAGTCACAAGGCAACAGTGGCAGCAGCTGAACCGAGCGAAAAGGGTAAAAAAGGGTTAAAAAATGAAAACATCACAGTATACAGTATGTACAATAAAAAGGGTTAAGAACACTTTATATACAGTATATAATGTATACAGTATATATATAACCAGTTTATAGTATCTCCTGATAGTCCGGCATATCCGATAATCCGGCACCACCTAAATCCCAAAGGTTCCGGATTATCGGAAGTCTACTATATATAGGCACTACACATCCAAATTTACTTCAGGTTCCAGATTTTTCATCAGTGGCTACCTAATAGCCCAATTTGAGTGGGGAATGGTAGTCATACATATACATAGAGCCCTGTTTTGGCAGTGGTAATACTTGTGGTGATTCAGATGGTTTTCCATAAGATTATTTTAAAAACAATTTATTAGTAACTAAATATCCCACCTTCATCCTCCTCAGAGTCAGAAAACGCATGCTCCATGGTGTGTGTCCTTGTCACCACACTGAGAGCGCTGCTTGTTACTTTGCTTTTTGTCCTCTGCAAGTTAGTGGTTTACAGTCATCTCTGTCTGACACCCTATGACCTTCTCACACAAAACTCCTGCTTTAGCCTCCTGAATCTAATGATCAATTTCTGAAAACCTCCAGGAGCAAGGGTGTCATTTATAAGTTTTGTAGTCTTTATGTATACTGTTTCTGAATAGGAAGGTCACATTTCCCAGTCACTGGAGATGCCTGGGTCTTGTGGGAAGTTTTTGCAAGGTTCCTCTTTCATTTCTTCCCAAGCATTCCATGACCTCATCTAGACATTGTGACTCAAAATAGATGAAACTTATGACAAAATATCCTGCAGTCATATAATATCAGTCTTTGCATGCATCAGATCTCACTAAGTAGGATCAGGACTGGTCAGCATTTGGGTAAGTGTTTCAAGAAAGTGCTGCTAGTAAGCTGGCAAGGAGTGCTCACAGATCAGAGTCACTAGTGACACAATGTCCCAACCTAGTACATTTTCATAAGAAAAATCCAGTTCTGATCATTTGTAGTCTTTAAAGAACTCCCAGGACTTTTTGCAAAAATTGGTTTATTAGTCCCCATGTCCTAAATAGATTCCAACTTTCCCACTAAAAGTTATGTAAAGATATAAGCTATGTAAAGATATAAGCATCTAAAAGTGCCCCAAAGCAAGGTATTTATTATTTATCCAAGCAAACCTTAATTGATGCCAAAGCTGAGGTTCCATTGAATTGTCAAAAGAATTGGATCCATATTTTTTTATTTATTTATGTACAATGTTAGGTAACTACTCAAAAGGCTGGCAAAAATATTTTCTTAACAGAGGAGACTTTTTTATAAAGGTGTAGGAAAACTATACTCAGTACATTCAGGTGCAGTCTTCCATAACAAGAGGAAGTCTGATAAGATACAGAGAGGTAGCCAAATCCGTAACTGGAAAAAACTTTAAAAAACAACAAATAGTCTTGCAGCACCTTAGAGACTAACAAAACATGTAGATGGCATCATGAGCTTTCATGGGCACAACCCACTTCTTCAGATGAAAGAAGATGCTTTATCTTCTTTCCCAATAAGTTTTTCTCATAGAGGTTTCATAGTTTATATATATTGCACTGATTGCTAACTTCTGTATAAAGTCTTTGTCCCCAAAGAACTAGGTATCTTAGACACATTGGTGGTTTTATTTACCCATATTTTACAGAAATCTCTAAAACATTCCAGTTATCAGAGTTCAAAAAGTGTTGTATTTTGGTGCAGAAGACTAAAGTGTTGCATAAGCCAATGGAAGTTTTGACCTTAAATTGCAGGCTCATTGTTTTGATTTTGTTTGTGAATAATTTTTCAGGAGCAGGCATTATAATTTTGATAGCTTGGACATTTGGTTGCTTGTGGTGCTAGTTAACATTCCTCACATTTCAGTGTGATTGTCCTAATGTTGTTATGTTCTTGGATTCTATACTTCTCTCAGAGGTCTACTTTTGTTTAAAAAATACCCAAGTAATTATCATTTGCTGTTTAAATAGCCTGCTGCCTCTGAGCTATTAGTATTATCACCTTCCATTTCTATAGCTCAACAAAGAGGAAGAATAATGCAGTTAGGAAAACTGAGTTAAATTACCTGCTCTGCCACAAAGGTCTTGTATGATCTTAAACAAGTCACTTTGTCTATGCCTCAGCTGTAAAATGGGCAGAAAATAATGTTCCATCCTCACAGCCATGCTGAGATAAATACAGTAAAAATTGTGAGGCGCTGAGATGGCAATGGGGGCCATATAAGTATCTTAGGCACAGTCATATCTGTACAGAGATTGGTCTGTGGCTTTAAAACAAAATTGTTATTTTGAAAACACTTTATGGCTCACCAATGATTTTTGTGTCATGCACTGAAGCAGTGAGTACAGGTTCTGTTAACAATGTATCAGCAATGTTCTCTATGGCTAGAGGTTTCAGAGTTGTTTTGATGACAATCTGATTAATGTACTAATCAGCAAGTGATGGGGTTGTTTTTAAGGGATGTCTGGAGATAGTCAGCAGCTTTAGTCTTTCCAGCTCCTTGTATTACCGTAAAACATCAAGGCTGTGTCTACATTGGCAAGATTTTGCGCAAAAGCACTTGCTTTTGCACAAAATCTTGCCGCCTGTCTACACTGGCCGCGAGTATTTGCGCAAGAACACTGATGTTCTACTGTATGAAATCAGTGCTTCTACTGCAAATACTCTGACGCTCCCACTCAGGGATAAGTCCTCTTGCGCAAGTGTTCTTGTGCAAGAGGCCAGTGTAGACAGGTAACATCAATTTCTTGCACAAGAAAGCCCAATGGCTAAAATGGCCATCGGAGCTTTCTTGCGCAAGAGAGCGTCTACACTGGCACGGATGCTTTTGCGCAAAGACACATGCCAGTATAGACGCTCTCTTGCACAAATACTTTTAACGGAAAAACTTTTCCATTAAAAGTATTTGCGCAAAATCATGCCAGTATAGACGCAGCCCAAGTGTATACTTGCAGTAACAGGGCATATTGGTACTCAATTTTATGAGAGTTTAGTTTCAGATTTGTAATATGGTCAGAATGATGAATGCAGCAAAATATTGAAACCCTTCTCTTTCCAGGAAAAAACTATCTGGTTTCAAAAAGTGACAGGCTTCAACTTTCATAGGCTATAATTTGAGTATGACCAGCTGGGTCTGTTTGAGCTTGACTGAAGTCTTCTAGCCTTCTATTAAAGGAAGGATTGAAGGAAAAATAGGACAACATGTTTGTATGTACATTAAGGTTACATATGATGACATCCCCTGCTTCAGGCTAGGGATGTGAATGGATAAGCAGTTAACCAGTGGAGCCAGTCCCCCACTGAGATCCTGCTTAATTGGTTAACTGGTTAAACCTAATGTTTAACCAGCTAACCGATCAACTGGGATTTTACATCCCTACTTCATGCTGTGCTTTGTCCATACAAATTTAGTGTAATATTTCATAAGATGCTGAAGAGTAACAATTACATTTGCGACGTTAGGAAGGCATCAGGCTCAATAGCTGATCACGCCTAAAATGACTTATCTGCAAAATTGTTCAGATAAGACTGTTTCTTTTGTATTCAGTTTCAATTGATATGTGATGACTGGTTTGAAAATACATGTCCAAAGACTTTTATGTGGGTTTTAAAATTTTTTGTCCATGTGTAATATGGGGCAATACATGTCCAAAGACTTTTATGTGGGTTTTAAAAAAATTTGTCCATGTGTAATATGGGGCGTTCAACAATGTTTTTAGTGCATCATCATGTTCTTGTTCTGCATATACCTTACACAGCAGATGAGATGACATTATGGAATGCAGTCAGACATTACAGTATTTTGTGAATCACTGGCCAATGTGAGTGAAAAAGATGGTTAGGTTTGTGAATTCAGGGCGCATTTGAAGTTGTTTATGCCCAACATTATTAAGGTAATGTTCAAACTAGCCCAGGTAAGTGTACTATATGCTGCTCCTGCCTGATTTCCTCCACCAGACACCTCACACAGTTCTGAGCAGATATGAGTCATAGGTTACCAGGAATCTAAGTTTTCCCAGACATGCCCTCTTTTCTGGAACCCTGATCTCTGCCCAGGGAGATTTTTTCAAATAAGAAGAAATGTCCATGGTTTTTTCCGTGCAGATCAGATGTTGCAGCTCAGAAAGAGCCATCTCCATCCCGATTGTTTCCTCCTCTGCGTCCTCAGCTGCCAGATCCCACGAGCCATGGCCTGACTTGATAAATAAACAGACCTGCCATGCACTTCTCCGCTGGGCCTTCCTGCCCTGCTGTGGAGCCTCAGAGCCTGGCCAGGAGCCAGGGCAGGACCAAGAGCCTTGCTCCCTCCCTGGCCTAGAAAGGGAGACAGGCCTGTGTGTCAATTGACAGCCTAGTTCTGTGTCCTGGGCCTGCACCATTCGCCCTACCACTGGGGGGAGGGGAGGCGAGGGGAGACACTGCCCGCTGTCTCCAGAGTGAGGGTGCAGGCACCCCCAAATATCCGCCCTGGACAAACCCTTCCAGCACCTCCCAAATGCCTCCTCAAGAGCCCCCAAGTGCCCCTCCCAATATACACACATTGATTCAGACCCCCAATTCCCCTACCGCACCCCCAACCTTCCCCTGCCCTCCCGCTGGTGCAGTGTCCTCTGTTCAGTAACGTGACTGTAACGCCGTATGATTCCCCCGCAGGCTCGGACACAGCCCAGCTCCACAACGCAGACTCCGGCACTCCGGGGTGGAGACACAGGCCTGCGGGCACCAAGGGCGGGGCCGGAGAGCAGAGCCCGGGTACCACAGGCCTCCTCTCATCCCCCCGCTCGGCCTCCGGGACTGGCGGGCTGAGTCTATGCCGGGGCAGCGCTGTGCCAAGCACGGCCTAGGCCAGGCCGGCCGCGGCTCCCAATAAAGTTGGTGAGGCGGAGCCGGGCTGGCTCATAGGCGAGG